TTCACCAATGCCGAGCACATGCGTTGAAAATTTTGGTGCATTTCGTTGATTTGCTTTCGTTGATGTCATTAATTACGTTTCGAATTCATGTTATTTATGCCATTTTGACAGTTAAATGTGTTAGCTATCTTCAGCTTTATGAGCTGTTACCGTTCTGTCGTGAATTATGTGTAAATCTCAACGGATGTGTTTATCTGCCTTAATTGTTTCGCCCAGATTTAGAAAGCTGTGGTGGATGAGACCGGCCGCAGATCTCCAAACAGTCACCATAATTTTCTTTTGGTGCAAATTTGGCTTTGGAAAGTGTTGTGGTGTCTGACCACTGTCCAACCACTGAGCCGAATGTCATCAGTTGTTAGAGAGAATCCGCTTTTCATCGCACGTAACAATTCAATCAAGAAAATGGTGGTTTTTGTTGCGAAGAAAAAGAGCAAACGACACTTCAAAACGGCGATTATTTTTACTTTCGCTTCAATTCGTGAGGCACCCGCTTATTGAGCTTTTTTGACTTTCCTATACGATTCAAGTGATCAGAAATCGTTGTTTTGTTTACGCCAAGCTCCTCCGCAAGCTGTCGAACAGTTGTGAACGGGTTTGTTTCAACTTAAGTCTTCAAATCTTCTTCATCAGCTGAAGAACGTCCACGACGCTCTTGATCCTCCAAATCAAATTCTCCACGACGAAACATTTCGTCCCACCGTTGAACTGTAGATTCTTTAACACTTTTCTCGCCCAATACTTCGTTGACATTTCGAGCCGTTTGTGCTGCGCTGTGGCCTAGCTTGTACTCATGAAAGTAAATTGGCAGAAAATCCCGTTTTTACATTAAAAAGAAAACACCTAGTAAATACTTTTTAAAAAAATTTTGGAACAAAATGATTATTATAGAAATATAGAGCAAAAATAGAACTTCAAAATGATATATAAACCAATGTAATTCAAAATATTTTTGTTGCTAAAAATGTACAAGAAAGATAAACAATTGCAAAAACCTGTATCATTTTCCGAAGAACCAGATATACTCTTTCGTGTCATTTCACACTCTGTCCGGCAGACTGTTAGTTCCTCGTATTCTTCCGCAAATCGCTGAACGTCTGACTTGAAACGAAATCCAAGATGGCTGTGCCATGCTGTTAAACTTGTGCTATGGATATTTTGTTGCATGAAAAGTAAGTTCAGTTGCAGTACTTGCATGTTTACTTTTTTGCTTTTCGAATTTATCTCTTTTACGTTATTTATGTCATTAATTACGTTTCGAATTCATGTTATTTATGCCATTTTGACAGTTAAATGTGTTAGCTATCTTCAGCTTTATGAGCTGTTACCGTTCTGTCGTGAATTATGTGTAAATCTCAACAGATGTGTTTTAAAATATCTGATTTGCCCTGCTATCCAAATATTTATGGCTAAATATTTTTTGGTCCCTTTTCAGTTTCAAAATATTATGTGCTATCAAACTGTTTATTATTTTATTGCAGCAATGAATTTATATTAAATAGTTTGAATAATTGTATAAAAATAAGAGTTTGCATAGTTTTGTCAAAAATATGCATGGTTGAAACAGTATCTTAATCTAGTGTGACTAGTATAATAATGACAGTTTTGCATCAGGAGAGTAAGAGGGTCAGGGGGTGGCGAATGACGTCACAGGTGCATCGTGCAACGTCATCGATGACATCACACCAGGAGCGTGTCCAACAACATCACGAGTTGAGTTGCATATCTCCTGCTTTTCATTTAAAATTAGTTTTTTTAAATTGGCAACGGGAAATATTTTCTTCATCTTAATTTGATGATATGGCGTGCTGCCCTCTATTGATGAAAAAGTGAATTATATGTTTTAGAAATATATTTTTAAGTCTGGTGTTAAAATTATTCAATGTGCGACTCTGAAAACAATGTAAGAGAAACAAATATAAAAAAGATTGTTCATCATGTCATGAAAATGAAACTACAAGTTAATTAGTTTTTATTACTTAATTTTATTCTGATACTTTTATTCTCTCTAGTTTCTCATGAAACTTTAACTTATTTCTTAGGTTTTCTGTTTATAATAACATATTCGTTTACTGTCATATTTTTTTAATACTTAACGTTTCTAATTTGTAATATTTTATTTAATTTCCACATATTATTTTTTTATACATTTCGTAAATTTTAGCATACCCTGATTTTTAACTTATATGTTATATTTTACAAACGTAATTGTTCCCGCACATGCTGTTTATTTGTTACATTACTTAGTTTTAGATGCAATTCCGCATTTTTTTTAACGTTATAGTGTTCAATATATTCTGAATTTAAACTTCATTTACTTTTTTTAACTGTTCTAGTATTCTATACACACTTAGCTGTTTTAAATTCCGTTTAAAAAGAAACGTTTATTTTTCGTGATCTTAGTTCTTTTACTAAATTTTCTACAGAATTTCTAGTTTCTATCACATGTTTAACAATATCTTCCTTACATTACCGAATATTTTTTAAAAAAATTTAAGTCTATAACTGTTAATTGCTTTTCTTATGTTCATGATTTCCCTTCTTTAGTTTATATTTCATAATTCTAGATTAACTTATTTATTATACTGTTTTTATTTCTGTCTCATCATTCGTAATTCTAACATTTTATTCCATTTTAGTCTTTTTAACAATATGGATTGTTTTCATTTATTACGTATTCAGACATTTCCTTACAATTTTTAAAATACTTGTTATGCTCTCCAATCATAATTGATCAGACTTGGTTTTACTTAGAAATTTCCATTCACAACTTTACTGTTTAATACCATTTATATCTAAACGTATTTCTTTCTCATATAGTTTTAAAGTCTTTAAAAGTTTCTAACATCATGTTTAGTTTTAAATCCCGATTATCTTTAAGTGTATTGATAATTTTCATTTCTAATTTTACAACCATATTCAGTGTTTCATCCACAGATACCAAAATATTTCATACATCTTCTGATATTTAGTCTATGTCACATTTCAGTACTTAAAATGAATTTACGCTGCTCACACTATTATTTTTTCATGTTTTAGAGACACTGACTATACTAATTTTACATTTTCCCTACACTATTTGCATCTATATCCACACTCATGAAAAACTAGCAATGTTTTACATCACATGCATAAAAAAATTCTAAAAACCAACCTTTTCAGTATCGTACTCAAATTACTAGTTTCCAGATGGGAATTAGCAGTATTCTTTGGCTTTACTCTGTTGTATCTTTTTAAATTTTAACATCTTACTTTTGATTCTAACATACGTCTTTTGAGCAGCTTATTCTTCTAATGCTAGCATATAACCTTACCTTGTTTGTTCAAATTGCCTACAGTACATTAATTCAATATGCAACCTTCAATGTCTTTCACTGACATTCTTTTTGATAATACTACAAATTTCCTTAATTGACAAAAAGCGAATTATTTCTCATTTCAAAACAGAACTAGCATATTTTTCACAAACATTACCTTCTTCTATTCAAGAAACCCCTTAACCTGTAACTGATGTAGAGATAGCAAAGGAGCTCATATGCTCTTTATATTATGCCCTTTCGCCATCATATGCTCTTTCGACATTTCAGATTTTTAGAACTTCTTTGGCAAGTGTATCAATATCATCAGAAAATACGCTTGGCATTTTTACTCTGTTTAAAGGAGACATACTGTTATAAGAATGTTTTAGTTAAATTTATAAGACAAATAAACACATTTTGTGCTAAATAGGCATAAACATTTAGATTCAGAATATTCTTTTTAAATCCGAGTAAGACATGAATTCATTCATGATAGGATTGTTTCTTGATTTTTTTGACCATAGAATAGAAAACTTTTATTTTACAAGTTCAGCTTTTAACGAAATAGAAATAAAAACTACGATACATCTGCTATTTTTAAGAAAAGGAACTTTGATACATTTCTGGAAATGTAAATGCTTCTAGAGTTTTCTTTCGATAACGTTGGTTTTCATTACTTTACTAATTTCAATAATTCTCTTATTAGCTAATATATTTTCTCATGAACGAAAGATTGTCAAAAACGTGACAGAGTATAACTCTTACGAATATACATACCTTTACTAGCATACACATAACTCTCTCTCTCTCTCCCACACACACACGGCGAGGTAAAGGAAAAGAATTATTGAGAAGATACTACAGCGGGGAATCTGATATTGCGCAATAAACGCACTTGTTTGTCGACAGTGGTTGGAAGAGAAATATACTTCAGACAGGATACCAGAGGCACCTTCGGATTGAAAGATGTTGTTTAATGTATGGTGCTTCTCTACTGATGTTTTTCACTACTATTCCTTTCATTGAGGTAAAATGATGCATACATCTCGATAATGTACGGATACTGAAAATGCATGAAACGTTGTTCCTTAAGCAACCAACACTTCTGAATATGTATGGAATCATGTTGTTTCAAGATAACGATCTGCTAACGTCCGGCCGCATCAACAACTAATATTTGAATCAAATCAAGAATTTGACATTTTGAATTCCGTATCATCCTGCGTACACTGCTAATGCGTCCCCAACAAACTGCCGTTCTATTGGCCCAAGGCTATTTTTGTCCAAGAAAATGCTTTACTAACGACACATGAATTAATCGTAAAATGGAAGATTTTATGATTTGTCCACTGAGGTCTATAAATTTAATCTAAAAGACATTATCATACGTCAGCAGTAATGAAATGAAATCATTGGAAATTACATTGATTAAACATTAGTTCATCACTATTTTTTATTCACTTCCCTTTCAGTCGTTCTTCAAATTGGCCACTTCATCTGCACTAACAAAGCATACCTTTTCTCTCGTAAACTCGGGAATATAATAAATATTCTAGCATATCTATCTCTACGTGACATTAAACAAGCCTCAAGCATTGAATAAATATCAAAATTAATTGTTTCAAAAGAGTAAATTGAATTTAAGTGACAAAATTGAAGCCATATAAAAATGGAAAATAATTTTTTGTTCTTGCCCTGTCGCAGATCGAAGAAAGAAGACTGCCGTATCCTTATGATACAGACTGCCAAGACTATCACGAAGAGTGGCGAAAAAACAACTTTAGTGGACCGCTCTCCAGAAAAGTAAGTGTAATTTATTTCCTTTTTTAGCACTTCGTTGCTGACACAGCTATCATTGATAACTGTAATGCCATGGAAAGAGCAGTTGTAGGATTATATATTATTGGAGCTGCTGGAGGTAATACTAGCAGCTCCAATATGTTGTAAATTTCTGTAATTGTTTTTGCGTCCATTTGATGGTAGTTTTGCGTTTGCGTATTGTTATGAGTTACGTACTGTTAGCACCAGTCGTACTAGGAGTCTCAAAACGCACTTTTTGTCCATATCACATTTCTGTCCGAATCACTTTTCAAAGTTTTGTCACAGAATGTCATCATGATGTATTATTTAAAAACACATAAATAATAAAGAATTTGAATAATTTGTATGTATGTCCCTTGCACTGAGGAAAAACGACAATACCAAAGCCACGGATTATTTAATGGACTTAGTTGTCCTCCTGAAAAGGGTACTTCAAAGCCCAATTTTAAATTCAGAATTTTCTTTTGACTTATTTCATATTTTGCATAAATGTAACGAGCTTTTGCTTAATAGACTCAGCGATGTGACAGACACAAGTAGCCACACTGTTCCAAATAAAATATGTTTAGCCACAAGGTTCCAAATTGTTGGGCATTGGACAAAATGAAAGATCTTTAAATTTTAATCCACACATCCGGACCAACATGTTGCACTGCCTCAAGCAGAATACGTGTAAGGGCCCTATCACTTCTATGGACGCGCGCGCTTACCCGGGACGATTCCGAGGAACGAGATTCTAGTAGTACGGCTTTAAGCGGCAGGCTTCCGAGAAATGTTTCGTCTAGCTAGGAGGAACCTGTCCCGGCTACGAGCAACATTTTAAAATTTGTTCGAAATGTTCCGGCTGGAGACGTGTTCCTCGAACGTTCAACCAATCAGACGAAAGTTCTGCTTCTGAAGGATCACGGGTAACTTTGAATATGGCGATGGCTCTCACTGTGAAGTGATGGACGGTGGAAATAGAGGCCGATTTAATTATTGCTGTTTTGTTGTAATACAACTGAGTCATTTTTTAAATGTGTATATATTCATTAAATATATAATTGTGGAAATTTCAGAGTTGACAGTATTTTACGACGTTCTTGCAGTTCGGATTTGTTTACAAATTGTTCGTCGTCAAAAGTTCGCCAAATTTGTCGTATTTCGTGCTGATTGTGTATTATCACTGTTATATAATAGAATTTTATTTCTTAAATTTAAGTTGAATAATTTTTTAAATCCGTTTGTATATGTGCGGCTTTTCTCCTAATTACTTATTTTTAAAATTGTTAATTGCATAATCAGTGACACATTTTAAACAGCATAAAAGATGCATAAAAAAAGAAAAGCATAGCTTATGTTATAATGAGAATGCTCATTAAATTTGTATTATTTCATATTATTAATGAAATACTTTTGGATTATAATACATTAGAAACTATACTTTTCTGTAAATGCTACATATTGAAACATTGGAAATTTATGGATTTATTATTATGCATAATGAAAAAACTTTGTATATACATTTATTAATATAAATCTTATTCAACATTAATACTAATAAATGTATATTAACAACTTCTAAACCATCGCATCTCTCTATCTGTATGTAAATATGACTTATTAGATGTGTATATATATGTATGTATGAATACAAAAATGAATACAGCCAAAAAGTTTATTTTAAGTTACTTCTAATTCATATAACGATCATGTAATTGCCAGCAACTGTAGTCATCAGTCAGTCTTTGGCAAATTGCTATGGATATGTAATAATCATTTGAAAAATAATTGATGAGCATTTGAAGTACCAAAGGGTGTACACATTTTGTTTTTGGGTTAATTCATAATAACATTATATGTATGATCTACGTAATATAAACGTGGCCAATAAATAATAAGAAGTGTGTGTAACAGCTGTGCATTTATAACATTTGATTACTTAAAGCAGTACACAACTGATTATCACCTTCATGTGTGTTTACATAATTAATTGTACTTTGCCAATTAATGTGCATTGGCCTACTAAGTGGCCTGAAGCGTCGTTAAACACTGGTAGTTCTGTCTGAGGTTAGAATGCCGCGAATGGGCTGGCTACATGGGACGTTTTCTTGGGTTTTCCCCGATCTGTAACTGGTATACGACCCAGTTTTAAAAAATCTTCTACAAAGGGATCCCTCTTGTTAGGCAGATTTCGAGGCTTTGCCGTAATCACATAAAACAAACTCGTGATGTGCATCTCCTAATTTCTAGAGTTGGTATAATTAATGTTTTATGTATATTACTGAGTGTTCTATGGGACAGTGAATAACTTGCACATGTTTGATTGCTCATGTATTCATATGCTTTATTTGATCTTCATTTGCTTGAATAGGTATCTGCTGGCGTGCTTTATTTGAAGAAATATGTGGTGGATGTGAGGATGTAAATATCAGCCATATGGATTTTTGTCATAGAAGGTCTTTTTTTTTTTTTTTTTTTTTGTCTGTTTGCTTATATTTATGGACAGATCAGTAATTATGAGCCATAAAGTTAGTCAAGTCAAAACGCTTGGTCACCAAGGTCACCAGTTTTCCAGTGAGCCATCAAATTTTCATTGGAATGCAGACATCAGAATATACACATAGAGTAATGTCTGATAAATAGACTTATCCAGCACACGATTTAAACTATTCTTAGTGCATACAGAATGTAATTGAATTACTGATGTAATTGATTGCTATAACCAGAAGTGTGCTTATCTGTTACTTGAAGTGCCAGAATGGAGATCAAACTGATTATCTTGATAGCAATCACCTTTCTATTATCATCCATTACTAACAATAAAGTTTTAAACGAAAAGAGTGTGAGCGATACAAAACAACACGGAAGAAGCAAACGTCACTTCAAAGGAAACGTCACTTTCGCCAATCTGAGCGATAACTGATTCTTGTTTGGCTTTCAGCCTGTTTACCAAGTGAAGATGGTAGCCCTATTTCGCCAAAATCCGTTTCTCAGAACTGTTGCTGGAAACGTTTTGTTCCGGCAACAAATATCGTAATGTGATAAGAGTTTAACCTTCACGCACCAGGTTGCTTTTGCTCAATAAAGTATAAGATATGTAACTTTTAAATTTAGTCTTTCTGTTACTAATCACTTGGTTTGCTACGTTTTATGAGTTACAAACCAAATGACTGAAAAGAAATAAATGCAGTACTTAAATTTTTTTTCTATTTTAAAATCTGATCGGTTAAAATAGAAATGCATTTAAATCCTAAAATGTCTAATTAGAAATATTAAATATTTTATGAAATGACACTAGCTGGACTCATTAGAATCATTACATACTTTTTTTCTTTTTTATGATTTTAAATCTTTTATATTCCTCGCCGCTCGAGCGGCTAGTTTTCAAAGAAATAATATAGAGAATGTAGAAAATGCCTGACGACTCCTAGCACGCCATAGAGAATTTTAAAGATATGCAGTTTTTAAATACTTTTGATTTTTTTCTTAAATTTTATGTTGCGTAAGTGTAAAGTATGCAATGCGTGGCAAACTAGTAGTAAACCTAAAATGGAAAATAAAGGGGCTAGCAGGAGTGAGTCTAAATGCAGATTGGTAATTTATAGTGATCAACAAGTGTATAAAAACCTTAACAAATCGTCTGCCGCGATGTTAAAAATCTGAATTCTTTCAGATTTTCTTTCTTTTTTATTAATTATTTTTTTATTAAATCGGATTAGTTTTGTCTGCTTTTAATTAAGTTCTGTTTAACGTTTTAGTAGTTTAAAAGACAGCTACTGTGAGATATTGCGATATTGTACGAATATCTCTAAGGAAATTTAAGCATTTTGTTTTCATTTGTTGTGATAAGAATAAATTTTATTCACATTTCATCGGACTTGTGCATTGAATTTATTAAGAACTCGTACCCACGCAACAATTTTTGGTGTCAGGATTGGGGTTGAATGCCAATCACCAGGGTTATGGAAGAACAGTTAACACAGATCGTCACTGCTTTTGCTGCATTCCAAGAAAAGGTGGAAGCTGGCCAAGCATCATTTAAAGAAGACATGAAAGATTCTGTTAAAAAGAGATAAAATAAGTTAAAGAAAGATGAAAGCTGGTCAGGAAAATATGGAAGAATCCGTTAAAAAGAGATGAAAACTGGTCAAAAGGAATTAAAAAAAGAGATTACCTGTATAATAGAAATAATAGAAAACAAATTAAATAGTATAATAGAAAATAAATTAAAAGCCGTGGAAGGCAGAATAGACGCTGTTGAAAATAAGTTGGACACACTGAATAAAGAGTTTCTTCTGTAAAAGAACAAATAGAAGATAGAGTTTCTTCTGCGTAAGATCAAATAGAAGAAAGAGTTTCTCCTGTGAAACAACGAATAGAAGGAAGCGTTTCTGCCGTCCAACAACAAATTGATGACAGGGTTTTTGCTGTCGTCACCGAAGAAGTTCATGCCCTAAAGAAGTGCATAGCGACAGCAGGAAACAATTCAGACGGTTTTAAATTTCTACCTATGCCTGCTCGTCACTCTCTAACACATATGATAGGAAGACCTCTTGGCAAGCATATAAGACACAATTTTCTGTAGTGGTGGATGTGAATGGATGCGATTCCCAAGCTAAGGCCTGTCACCTAGCCGCTTCTTTGAGAGCAGACGCAGTAGATATCCTTAAAATTCTACCAGAAAACCAAACGCTGGATCTCGGAGCATTGTCCAGGGCGTTGGAGTTGCGCTATGGCGCGAAATGTTTGAAAGACTACAGAAGGCTTCAGTTAAAATCCCGTCAACAGAAACCCACAAGAAACACTCCAGTAGCTCGCCACGGATGTTGAAAGGCTATATCAGCTCGCCTTTTTGGAGTGTCTGACAGAAACAAGGAAAAACATGTCGCTGCATTACGTTATTCATAGCATTCGGGATTGGGAAATACAGCAACGAATGGCGGATTACTGTATGGATGGCGGATATCGAGGACATGAAAAGCGCCCAGTTGTACGCCGCG